AAAAACTGACTAACAAATTTGAGTAAATTAACTCATTTTCTTTGTAGAATAAAAAGTGAACCCCTAGTAGTAATTAGTGGAACTAATTGCGATATCGATGGTATTTTTTCCTTAACTTTTCATGTTATTAGAGACCCTCTAACAAACAAATCGTAGACCCACAGACAATTTGGTCTTTCAATATTTTAGAAGATCTGTTAACAACAACAAAAAATAACGGGGGTTAAGAGGTCCCTAACCGTAATTTTTTAAGTTACGCAAATATATGTATCATTTTGAAACTAAACTATACGTATTTGCTTAGGACTTTCTTGTAATGTGTTGGCATTCTGTGAAACGTAGAAAAGATACAACAATATAAAACTGTCAGGCGGGTAGAGCGTAATTATGGTTTGTGAAAGGATTTGCTGTGGATCACTGACTTTTATTATTCCTTATCAAATAGTATAAACGCCTAATGTGGATGATTGGCCCAAACCTACAGCCGTTACATTGAACTTTGTGAATTTTTGTTTCCTGCCTGGTTCTTAGGAGGGCGTTTAGATTTTTTAAAATAAAGCCATGAGAAATCTGATGGAAGCGTTTAATATCAGGACTTGGTTGAGTCGTGTTCTGTACCACACCGTTCTTGATGTTTTGTTTGATTGGTTTTTATTTCACGTGTCATGTATAATTCAAAATGTTCCTCTTGTTTTATCGAACACCCAAGTGTTTTGATTTTTAGCCTTGGCATAACGGCTCATAGAATGGCTCTGACGTTTTTTTTCAATTACAAACAGTTAACTCATAGCTCTATGTCTTGACCGATTTTAGATCTAATTACAGCTGCGGCTATCGAGGATTCCATCTTGTTTTCTCGTCTATTTAACCAGTTTCTTTTTAATCTCCGAGTAATTCTGTCTTGTATTCATAGAATGATAGTTGTTAAAAATTATCTGCGCCGTATTTACATTTTAAAACATACCTTTACCCCTGAACTATCTGTATTTTTTTCTGTTAACCTGAACTAATAATCCAGGTTTGTGTACAACGTTATTTCGTTTTCTCAACACAAATATACTTCAATTTACAGTGTTTCCAGAAACAGACGACTAGACGAATGCTAATTCTTAATCGAATCACCTAATCACCATTAACAACAAAACAGCGGTAAATTCGATCAAAACAAACTCCAAGGTAAAACTGGGACTATAGTTCCTAATTTCAAATGGAGTTTCAATTATATTTGTTAAAAGACATCAGTATTAGGCCCATTACATGGTTAATCACTACATGCTCAATCTAGACCCTAGGGATTTTGAAGAATTCAAAAGAGTGGATAATATAAAACGATAAAAAAAAACTATAACCCGAGCACTTCTGAAAGGTGGTCCTTTCTTCTTCAGGGGTAAATTTGCGGACTTGCAACGCTAAAATCCGGGACTCGATTCCCCGCGGTGCACGCAGCAGTTAGCGCAATGTGGCATCGCTCTAAAACAAACGACTAGTTTCAAGTTGGTAGAAAGCCTTTCCGTAGGTTTAAGTGCTCGCTGTGTTCAGCCATATTCGTTTGACAGTTGAAACGGACATGAAATAAGACATACCAGTCTACTTTACATATAGATTGCCGAGAATGAATGAAACCCCAGTCAAAATACTCTAATACCCATATATACATAAGATGTTTCTGTACACACGCCGCCTTAAAGCCTTCAACCTAATTTACTGGAACAAGACGTTTAAACTTACTTGATCTTACCTTCATCTCGTACATTGTATGAAAGTAACATCGTTTTTGTTTTATTTAACTCCACGCGCCGTGGATTTCTTGATAAAGATGTACAACGTAAATAGCTTCTTCTAAATGGTTAGGAGTTTTGCCTTGATAATATCAGATCGCAGAAACATAGTATTGCAAACTAATTAAGTTTTATATTCCTCAAACTGAATCCCGTGTATTGTCTTGATAAGTCGCGGTAATGAAGTTGAACTGGTGCTTTTTTTTGCTGTTTCCATACGTGATAGCTCAGTTGACGTCATTCTTTTTAAAGATCTTTCGGTTCGTGGTAAACAATATTAAGAAATGTTTTTAACAAGTTATTTTTAGAAAGACTAGATGGAAGAGTGCGTGCGTCCCAATATTATTAAATTAATGACGAAAGAGACTCCCACTGGGGTTGTTTTGTTTTGTTGGCCAAATGAATATCTTTAGTAATGTGAAATTTCTAAAAACATGTTAAAAAACAAACTTTTATATTAAGTATGCATACATTTTAGCAAACATCATTCGTGTTGTTTAAAAAAAGCTGTTATTTGAGTATTGTTGTTAACTTTTTCGGTGAAATTAACCCATATTTCTGAAGTCACCAACTTGTCACGTTTAGTTTTAAGGTTAGCGTGTAATGCAGAGTAAGTAAGGTTACTAATTTTTAGTTAGTGCAAAAAAAGTAAAACTGTTATTTTTAACATTTGGTTAATTTATGATGTTTTTCAAAATTGTCACTCGTTATTTTGATAAGGTTTATTTGTGCGTCTTGATGCTGTTTTTGTTTATTATCATTTAAAATACTTTTGTTTCTTTAGTCTCTTGGTTTCTACATAAAACTTAACTAACGTGTTACTTCCAATATACAAGGTGGCCCAAAAGTTATAGGACTCTATAACATGTTTCTCTCTTTCTCTGCATTGCAGATGACCGAGGCCATATGTTGCATTCATTTGTGTTTACAATTTGTTATCTGGATGGAGATTTGTGTTTATAATATTTTATCTGGATGGAGACTGCTGTTAGGAAATACATTTCTGCAATACACTTTCTAGAGCCCTGCTACTTTTGGGTCAACCTGTACTACTTTTCGGTAGCCCAAAAAGTAGAGTCATTACTAATTAAACAAAGAATAACTCTCCACCAACAAACCCTAAAGATTATTCTGTGAAATTGCTTTTAAACATTCGTATTATAGAAGCACGGACTCTGAGATTTATTTCCGTTGTTACTTTGGAATAAGTTCCTTTTTTTTTTCTTTATTTGTACGACACAATCAGTCAGGGAAGCTCAACTCAGTATGAACTTGGCCACATGACTTGTCAGGAAAACTCGGATAGACCAAATCGAACCTCTTCCCGGAAAGATTCAAACTATACGTAATGCTTCGCTATGTTGCCCAAAATGAACAGCACACTCTACAGTCACTTTTCTCTACTTCTACGATTGAGGCGATACACATACTTCATTTTACGAACTCATTAGATTATATTAAACAAACTCGCGTATGAGAAGCCGGAGATATGACTTTCTCAAACAAAGCTTACGTTCAAGAATCTAGCCTCTGATGTCGTGGAGGTAGAGGAGCATGCAGGCTTAAACAAATTGGATCGGCCTGAGAAAGAACAAAAACAGAAACGATCACGACCTACTGACAGTAAGCCATCCTAGATACATGAAGTACAGAAGACACTCAAGCTTTACATCCTATTCAAAAACAGAAACGATCACGATCTACTGACAGTAAGCCATCCTAGATACATGAAGTACAGAAGACACTCAAGCCTTACATCCCATTTTTAAAAAACAGAAACGATCACGATCTACTGACAGTAAGCCATCCTAGATACATGAAGTACAGAAGACACTCAAGCCTTACATCCTATTTAAAAACAGAAACGATCACGATCTACTGACAGTAAGCCATCCTAGATACATGAAGTACAAAAGACACTCAAGCCTTACATCCTATTTAAAAACAGAAACGATCACGAACTTCTTACAGTGAGCCATCCTAGATACATGAAGTACAGAAGACACTCAAGCCTTACATCCTATTTAAAAACAGAAACGATCACGACTTCTTACAGTGAGCCATCCTAGATACATGAAGTACAGAAGACACTCAAGCCTTACATCCTATTTAAAAACAGAAACGATCACAACCTTCTGACAGTGAGCCATCCTAGATACATGAAGTACAGAAGATACTCGAGCCTTATATCCTATTTAGACTAATTAAACTTTCGGTTAACGTATTGTTCTACCTCATCATCGTCCGCTTCATGATGTCTATTTTAGCTTCATTAAAAAAAGCCATAAATACAGAATTTTCCGTCCACTGCTGCACTAATTATGGTGTAGCGATTTCCCGCCAATATTCCAAGCTTCTATCAGAACACATGTATTTTGTCTTTATTAAACTTTAATTGGAATTCACAGTATATGTAAACAACCTTACTTGTACATTAAACAATTTCTTTAAAAAACAAAAAAGCAACATTGTCAGTTTTTTCCGTGATTTCTAACGTCGCATTCATACCTGCTGGTAAGAAACATCTCCCTTGAAACCTATAGGCTAAAGATTCACTAGATGCTTAAAGATTCGGGGCTCGGACCCATAGGTGAGGGAATATTCGGCGTTTCAATATGATATCGATCATGTTTTTCTCTTCTGATTTTTCAAGATACCAACTGAGGATTCGGGGCCCACGTGCCTGCTCCTAATGACTCCTCTGCCTATAGGTTAACTATATCCTCAATATTTATCTATTTCGACAGAAATACCTTATGAATATCACTATGTTATGATAAGCCAAATACACAGGTTGATTGTATGAAGTATTCAATACTATGAGAAACCGAAGGGCGGTAATTTGATTCTGCAAAAGCGAAAATCTTCAAAATAGAGAAACACTTTATTATCCCCCCCCCCCAACTAAATAAATCACACATAAATACACTGCATAACTACATTTGGCCTTAAGACCATCTCAGGTAATATTTAAATGAATTAAGTCTAATTTCGTTGTTGACAAGAGGCCTCGTTAACGTTCAGTAATGCACAACACAGTTACTAAGTAATATATTAAAAAAAAAACAGTGTTACTGATACTCCCTACAAAAAGTAGTGAATGGCCTGTACAGGGTTACTCATTTCTGCGATAAAATGAAACCCAAAACCTAAAGATTAACCAGCTGTGCGTGTTTGTATGTCTATGTAAAGCTATTTATTTTCCACTGTTTTGTTTTTCAGGAGCTCGGCTACAATCCTAACCTGAAAATTAACCTTCAAGACTTGACTGTTCTGCTGGAAGAAGAGCTGACCGCAGCATGCCAGTCCAGTGGATTTCAGTTTGCTTTAACGACATATCAAAGTGAACTTCGACACCTGAAGTAAGCGGATCAATCTATCTATACTACACAGTAATCATGGCTCAGTGAGTAGCTAAATAGATTCCACGCTTCCATCGGCGTGTTAGCTTGAATTAAGAAACTTTCTTTTCAGTATCTGTCATAAATATAAATACACTACAGTGGAACGTCGCTTATCGGGATTTCCAGTTTTCCGGATCATATTTTGATTATTCAATATATGTATATACATGTATGTATTTTCTTTGTAAAAAGCCACGCAACTGTTAAACATGTCTTAACATGTAGCAAAGGGGGTAGATCTTGCCACAAAACCATCAGTTGTGACATTAGCCTTATTGAATACGGACATGCTTTGTGTGTTTCCTTAAAAATTAAAAACGTGTGTTTGTTTTTTAAATCAAAGTTGTTCTTTGTTGTGGTGAAAATGTCAACCAAAAGCAAAAGAGTGTTTCTTTCGTTGAGTGACAAAGTGGGCATTGTGAATATTAACAAAAAAAAGTGAATCTGGTAAAAATCTAGCAGAGAAATATGGTGTTGGTACTTCAACAGTATCGCACGTTAAACAATTAATGACTCGTATGGTGTTGGTACTTCAACAGTATCGCACGTTAAACAATTAATGACTCGTATGGTGTTGGAACTTCAACAATATCTCACGTTAAACAAATAATGACTCGTATGGTGTTGGAACTTCAACAGTATCGCACGTTAAACAAATAATGACTCGTATGGTGTTGGTACTTCAACAGTATCGCACGTTAAACAATTAATGACTCGTATGGTGTTGGTACTTCAACAATATCGCACGTTAAACAATAATGACTCATATGGTGTTGGTACTTCAACAATATCGCACGTTAAACAAATAATGACTCATATCGTGT